GCAGCAGCAGCGAGAAGCAAGCTCAAGCCTTGTGAAAAACAGCTGCGGCGAGCTTCGACGATGCAGCAGGGGCCCGCATTTGTCTCTTCGTGTGACCTCCGTGTCGCCAGCCCTGCCCATGCTAGAGCTTTCGTCCCTGCCCGTGGCTCCCAAGTTTTGGCCTACCTGTCAGGCTGTTTTCGTGGACAGCAGAGATGACGATGATTTCAGGAGCGAGCCTCCAAATTGGGCTGGCCAGCTTGCTGTTGGGGTGACATGTCTTGACTCTTGTGTGAAGCTTTCAAGACACTTGGGGCAAGCAGATTCCATGAATGAAACCGAACAGGACGACGCGAATCCAGACGTCGTTTCACTTGTCTGCCAATTCGCTCATCATGAAAGCAGGAGGAGCTACTCGGGCTGAAGCGGGGCCGCTTTGAGTACAAGCTGCCTAGTTTCAATGGTCGGTTCTGCGGCAGCACAGTGTCCGTGCCCGAGGCAGACAAAGGATTGGTCCAACAGTTGGTTGACCTCGTCAACTCCGGCAAGACCCTGGTCTGTCTTAGTGCTGCTCGATCGAACTGTGGATCCTCAGCTTGGGACATTGAATCGCATTCCTGGTTGCTCAGCATCCTTCAGCAAGCTTGCAAGAGCAGCACAGAAGAAAGAAAACCACTGGCTTCTCAGATTGAGTTCGGATTGGCTTTCTACAGGTCGTAACGACACCGAGGTAAGTGCGCCGCAAATACAAGAAAACGTTAAAAAGGCAGAATGCTGCTTGCTGAATTTCCAGTGTGCGCTTGACCCGTGAAACCTGGAAACCAGGATGCTTGCGTGAAGGGCAACATCAATCGCGGCCATGTTTCTCGTTGTCGCCACATTGCGCAGTGCTCTGCTGCCAGCGGTGTAAGTCCCTTCAAGCAGTAGCCAAGCATGGGCCAAGCATCCCTTCCAAGTACTGTACTTCCAGGTATTTGGTCGAGATGGGTGCAGATCGTGCGAGGATCGTCCGCATGACGGGCGGCATCAACGCATGGAAGAAGGCGTTGCTGGTCTGGTATTGGCTCAGGATCACCCTGTCATCGTGCAGGTTTCGTCGAAGTGGCAGTGCGGTCCAGCCAAGGCAGCTCGACGGAATCCTGGGAGACCTACGACCGATGTATGCCGGGGTCATCAAGGCCTCGGTTAAGCAACAAAAATCGTTGTCAAAGTCTCCAGGAGCTTCATGACTCCTTCTGATCCTGCTGACACCTCGCTACTGTCCTCCGATCTGTGGGCTGTTTTCCACAACAATGGAGCGGCTATGTGGAGCCGCCATTTCCGTACTTCCTTGCAGCTCTATAAACGGGAGGCCAGTGATTTCGAGCCGCCCAAGGAGGGCCGGGAAGAAGAAGAGGAGGAGATGCAAGGGACGGGGCCTGTAGCGTTTAGTTGCGATGTGATGGGGTGAGTCCCCTTGTCTCTGAATCTCTACATTGTGACTTGCAGTTCGCAGGAACTCCATGCAGAAGTCTCCTTTTAAGAAGGGAACTCGCCCGGGAAGCAGCAGCCCACGTCCTGGAGCCCCATCTCCAAAGCCAGAGGACGAAGAGACCCGGCCACTCCGAGGCGAGATGCCGGCGGCTGTGGGCAACGGAGGTCGCAGCAGGGATTCGGGCTTCCAGACGTACTGCCGCAATAGTCGCGTTTGTTCCTCCTCTCCTCAGAAGCAAGAGGCACATGGACCCAAGAAAAGATCTAAACATTCTGCTGATTACGGAAGCCGCCGGGGCCTAGCACCATGTTTGGTCACAAGCTTCAGAAGCTCTGTTGAAGCCGGCATCAAAATGTCTTCCAAATACCGTCCCAGTACTCGGGAATCGCAGTTAACTCACAAATACTGAGAGGGTAATTGAAGCCAGTTTGAGGCCGGCTTCAACAGGACGGAAGCCCAGGGGACTCGGGATATCAAATCGTGTTGGGTCAGCCATTGGCCACGCAATGCAGCCAGCAGAATTCTAGTCCGCGATCTGTCCCAAGTCTCCTGGACGCACTGCTTACCCCGATCCTGTTCGAGTATGTGCCGAGCGAGATTTAGGTTATGCCGCGCCTCAAGCACAAGCGCTTGTAAACCCACCGGAAACATCTTAGAGGGAGCCCGATTCACCCTTAAAAAAAATACAATGGGTTGATGTGTCGGAGGGAGGGCAATGCATCGGAGGGAGAGATGAGATAGCGGCCCCCCAAGAGATTGAAACGAAAATAAAACACAATTACATGCTTTTCGGTTCAGAAAAGAAAAAGCATGGTTAGAGCTGCCTGCGGTTTTGTTTGATTATGATGTCGGTTGTTAACACAGCCAAAAGCAATCCCGATCTTGTTTGTACTTCCCCAACAGCGTGAGCTCTGCATGCAGTCGATCGGGGCAAGGCCTGGGACAGGTTCCGTGGCGGGTTCCGTGGCGGGTTCCGGGCGAGGTTCCGGGACAGGTTCTCCGGTGTTTCTTCTCATTGCATCCAAGTCCCACATGTTTTCGTGAGCCTTGCGAATCCCGCGCAAGTGACAGCGCGTCTCGAGCCTCTGATGTGCACGCACTCCAAGTCCGGAGCTCAAAACTCGCGAAATTGCTTTAAAGTTGGTTTCCAGGCTCCGAAATGTAACTTCAAACTCTTGGACAACGCGTTTAAACCAGTTTCAGCTTTGCCGGTGCCGTCAGACGCTTTAATTAAGCTCTCGAAGCCACCGACCAAGCCCAAATGCATTTTTCAAGGCCTGCTAAACGCATTTGGCCCTGGTTTCAACAAATCTGGAGTTCAATGCCATCCCTGAAGCCGAAAACCGTACTGCAAGTAATTTAATTTGGTTTCCAAGGCTCCACCATGCATTTTTCAGGTCTTGGATGGTCTCAGAAACGCATGTAGAGCTGTTTCAGCTTTGTTGATGCCTGTGGCCCCAATCTCCGAACTCAAATCGAGCCCCCGAAGCCTGCGACCAGGGCCCTCATGCATTTTCCAAGTGCTAAACGCATTTGGCCTCGGTTTCAACAAATCCGGAGCTCAATGCCGTCCCTGCACTCGACAACCGCACCAAAATTCTTTATTTTTGTTTCCAGGTTCCAAACTCCATTTTTTCAAATCTTGGCGATCGCACTTTAAAGCTGTTTCAGCTTTGCCGGTGCCGCTGACCCTTCCCGACACTTTAATTGAGCTCTCGAAGCCACCGACCAAGGCCAAAAACATTTTCCAAAGCATGCTAGATGCATATGGGATTCGTTTCAGCAAATCTGGAGCTCACAGCGAAGATCGTCCTGCAAATGCTGCAGCTTGGAATCCAGGGCCCCAGCAGGCACTCTTCAAGGCTTGGAAAGCATGTCGAGCTATTTAAGCTTTGCTGGTGTTCCTCGCCCCAGCCCCCGAACCCAAATCGAGTTCCCGAAGCCTCTGACCAAGCCTAATTAAAGGCATTTCCAAAGCGTGCTAAGCGCATTTGGCCCTGGTTTCAACAAATCTCGAGCTCAACACCGTCGCTAAACCCGAAAATGTAGTAGTGAGATGCTCCAGTTTCGACTTGTCTGGAAGCCGTGCCTGCCTTGACCAAATGTGCGAGTCGAAACTCGCGCGCAAAATGCTCCAAGTGCTACTCCGGTTTTGGAGCGGGAGTGGTTCAACTGTTGAAGCGATTTGAACCTGCAGCAAATGCGCCGACAGCGGTCTGAGAGACAAAGTAGTCTACTGGGTTTAACTAGATGCATCCTTGAATGTTTTTAAGCCCTACAATTTGAGGAATTCATCCATTGGCAGGACACCATAACAAACCTTGTAGTACAGCATGTCTCTCCTGTTTTTACGTCCATACCGTTTGGGCTCTTCGCCGGCATCAAATTTTCAAAGATCGAACTCCCAGAAAACCCCGGCACTCCGCGCCTTCAAGTCTGATGAGCGCAGGCTATGCGAGCGCGGCCCCTCAACTGGCAGCTGGCCTGCAGGCGCGCAATCGGATTAAGAAGCCCGTGTGCTCAGCTATGCTCAGCTCTTCGGGTGTTTCAGGTGGAGATCCAGGGTCTTGCTGCCCGGCGAAGATTCTCTCAGCAGAGGTTATGTGTGTATCTTTGTGCTTTTTTTTCCTGGGAGCTTCTCCAGAAGACTCTTGGAGCCCCTCGGAGCTTCCTTGGCAGCCCAGGTTTCTCGAGCGGATCTGAACGGCAAAAAGGCGAGGATTCAGGAGCTGCGCCGTGCCTCAAGCGAAGCTTCTCAGGGTAGATGCTTGTCAACCGCGCGTGGCTTCCGTGGTCATGACCAAGAGCGAGAGTGGGGGATGTCCCCCTGCCCCTAGCCCTTGCGAAAGTTACCTAAGTCCGCGACCAGGAGTTCATTCCGAGCTCCGAACGCTGGGAGGTAGAACTTCTGGACGAGACGAAGGAACGCGTCCGCCGCCGCCTTGGGCTTTGTGGAGGGCATGGGCAAGGCGCAAATAAATGCCCCTGCAATCCGGCGGGTCCCGACGCCTTGACATGTTTGCCCAAGACTGAGAACAAGAACCAAAAGGCTCTGCCTAGGCTCTGCCACTCACAGCCTTGCTGAAGGCTGCAAGCCCGAGTGCCTCAAAGCAGCGCTGGCACCTCGGCTTTGCGCGAGGCTTTTGAAAGGCTCTGAAAAGAGGGGCGTCTTTAGATTGCGTGCAGGGATCCGCCAAGTTGGCACCTTTGGGAGGACTTGGAGTGCGCGTCGACCGAGGAAGGGCCAAAGGCTGCTCCAGCTGCCCCGGAGGAGTTCGTGGAGGTCGGATGCGGTGGAGCGACCCGGCAAAAGCCAGGCTCCGTATCGGGGGACCTTCAGCAGCCACACTTATCAGTGCTAGCTTGAGTTCGTCATCCGAGACGCCTGGCGATGGCGGTGCAAGAGACACCTGCAAAGTCAGGCTCGCCTTTTCGTGGAACTTGCCTAGTTCATAATGTCATAGCGCCTGCGATTCAGACTGCTTCAGGTTCGTTCCTCCACGTCCCTTCTGCCAAGATCGTCCGACTGCGTACAGAGTGTTGAAGGCCGACCTCTACAAGACACCCGGCTGAAACAGTGAAGGCTCTGGGGTGAAGAATGGATGCATAGCATTCCGTGCATTAATGCTACGCATTGCCGCCATGTCACCGCCATGTCTTTGTTTCGGAGATTCTGCAAGGAAGACAGCGAAAGAATCTGCGCCTTGTCCGATCTCCAGCATGGCTCGCTGAACTTCCATGTACTGACCAGTCACGAGCCTTGAGCAATCCTTTGACGTGAGGGACAAGCCTCCTTGCCCAGGACAAGATCATCAAGGTCACACGGTCCGTCGGATCGCTGGCCAGGGCCTTCAATCCGGCCTCACATAACTCGGCGTCCTGCTCTGTGGTGCAGAAGCTGTTCGCAACACGGTCTTGGTTGAGTTTCATTTTGAGGTGCGGACCACCGGCGAGCTCTTTGTCGGCAGCGTCGGTGGTGTTTGGGCCGAGCTGGATGTGGCGGCCGGCGAGAAGAAAGGCACAAGTGCTGGGAAGCGAGGTTTGGGTTGGGGTTTCGCAGAAGCCAAGGAGTCCATGAGCCCAACAGGATCTGCCGGTCTGTGAGAAACAGAGGAGACACTGCTGAACACGAAACTCCCTTTCCTGCGCAGCAAGAGTAGAATCCTCCGGATGCTCTTGAGTCGTGACGACTGCGTCCAGGCTGGATCTACATCAAGGCGGGGAGGAAGTCGCTGGATATCCAGGGCACAAGAGTTGCCAAAATCGGACCCGACGTCCCAAGCTTTCAAGTTGAAGCCCTGCCTGAAAGGGCCCTGGCTTTGGAGCGAGCAGCTGCAAGATCACCGACGAGTATTTGCTGGCGTAGGCCATTCTGAATGATGTGGCTTCAAGGGTCTAAAGTTAGGCAGCTACGGGATGTTTAGGCCCACAGCCCGAAGAACGTGTTCGTCGCTCGTTCTGCACTAGCCCGTCTCATTCACTCAGTAACACGCTTACCATGTCACTCATTCCGTCCGTCATCCACTTGCTCAGGATCTCCGCTGCTGTTTGCATTTCTTCCTCGACTCTCTGCTACGAGTGCTGCTTTTTCGGGTTCACGGAGCGCGATTGTGCCAGGTCAGCACGACCAACATCATGATCAACACCAGGACAACCAGAACCACCGCAGCCGCGATCACACATGTCCGCCGCTTCGTCGTCGTCCTTCTCGTCGTCGCCGTCGTCTACTCAAGTCTCATCCTCATAGTCATCGTCATCGCAGTTCTCATCAACTTTTTCATTCATCATCACAACCATCATCATTATCATCATCAGCACGATACGAACAAATCACGTCCATCGGTGCTAAGGCAGAATCCAGACGACAAAACTGTTAATGACAATCATCACCACAACTGTTTGCATCATCACAATCCTCATTACTATCATCATGATCACTGGAGCAGTGCCACCGCCCATCACCATCACAGCAGTCACAGCAGCTGCAAGCATCACCATCGCCATCGCCAGCGCCATCGTCATCATCATCATCATCATCGTCGTCGTCGTCGTCCTCCTCCTCCTCCTACTCCTCCTCCTCCTCCTCCGCATCATCATCCTCGTCATCATCATCATCATCATCATAGTATCATAATCACCATCACCATCACCATCACCATCACCATCACCATCATCATCATCGTCATCATCAGCACCATCGTCGTCATCATCATGATCATGATCATCATCATCATCATCAGCGTCATCACCTTAATCGTCATCTGTGGGACAGTTCTACATATATACATATATATATATATCACATGTTCCGAGCACAGAACTGACTTTCAATCACCTGACAGACGTACCCAAAACGATATATGCTTCGGCACTGTTAAGATCGAGGAGTCCCACTTCAAGAACCTGGGCACCAATCCACCGAGCTTCCGCGAGCTCTGCTAGCGGCAACGGAAGTCTTCAGCTTGAGGTCCCGTTTCACCCTCCTGAAAGCAGGGGTCGACCGGCAGCAGGACCGTGCGATGCTCCGTGCGGAGTGGAGCCACTGCAGATTTTCCAGTCTAATAAAAGCTGCGACGCAACTGTCAAGCTGGAGCTGAAGCGGATTCAAGATTTGGTTCGTGCTTTGTCTTGTTCGCCTCATGCCTGCCAGGTATGTCGATCAGCGCAATCTGCCTCTCAAGGAGCAGCTTCAGCTTCCTAATGGTGCCAGACATCGTGCCAGGGCATATTGTGTGGTGGAAGGTGGGTTAAAAATGAGCAACATCACTCGATGCCAACTGCGCACTGTCAGCTCCTCATGGCCATCTCCGACCAACTGTTATTCTTATTCTTATTATTATTGCTACTATTATTATTATTATCATTACTACTATTATTATTATCATCATTAGTATTATCAAAGTTCCATATCATGTTGAAGAAGGAGATGTTCTGCGACATCTTCGATCCTGAGACCAGTAGCTGGACCTCGCTCCCTGCTGCCGCCTACACGAACCTCGGCGTAGGCCAGGGCGCCGTGGCATGCAGGAAGTCATGGCACGATGCGCGAATCAACATTATCTGTCTCTGCCTGCCATTATGGGGTGACTTATCTAGACGTCCCACTGAATCACGAGAGTAGGAAGGGCATACTTCCGCCAAAGTTCTGCCTTGCTCTGTGAAAGATCAGATTTGTCCGGTGAAAGTTGTTACGACCAACCCGGGCGTACCGATTTGATGCTTCGGGTTTCCCGAATTCGGTATACAACCATTTCAGGATCGCGTGTCTCTTGGCCAAAACTCTTGATTCGTTCTTCGGGAGAGGAGTGTAACAGATGATGGTATTGCGATACTGATGGTAGGTCTGCCTTTACATATGCATACTTGTACACGCACAAATAGGCACGAGCACACACACACACATCTGTAACACATGTACATGCATGTTTTTGTCTGTACATGAAAAACATGTACGATTATACGTGCAAGCAAGCAAGCAAGCAGGCAGACAGGTAGGCAGGCAGGCAGGCCTCCCTGTGCACATTCTCTCCCTCTCTCTCTCTCTCTCTCGCTCGCTCTCTATTGCTCTCTCGTTCGTATGCACATATGGCTGTTTATGCATATGCATATGCATATTTCGTATATGTATGCACATATGTATGTGTACAGGTATGTGAAGGCCGGGTGCAGATGGAGTTATGTTTACATGCAGTGCAGACCTGAGGCATTTTCGAGCGGGCCGCATTTTTCGGCGCGGCTGCAGCAGGAGCCTTACAACAAGGACAACTTGTTCGACGGAGATCTGTGGCTGAATCAAACACAAAAAGCTTGTTAGACCACTTGTCGCCTTGTTTGTGCTCGAACCGTCCAGTCTTTTCAGGTCGAAGGTCGTGTTGTGGCATTGGTCGGCAGCGTCACCATTGATGCTTGCCCTGCACGCAGTCTGCTTGAGCCACTGCGCGATCAAGGGATGTCGGGCGTTCAAGGGTCACCTTGGGCTCGACCGGGGGCAGTTTGAAGCTGCTGGAGATGTAGAATGGCAACCCAGACATGGCCTATGCCTGCACGTATAGATGCCGCTTGAGCGCTACAGTTGAACAGGAGCTGCTCACGGTCGTTGGAGTCTTCGAAAAGTTGGCTAAGGCTTACAACCCCAGAGTCCCCGAAGATGGTTGGAGAGCTGTGGAAGCACCAAACAGCCATGTCAAGGCAAGTTTGCTGAGTCAGAACAGAACGGCTGAGGGCTCTCGGGTTTTGGAGCTGCTCGCGATTGAGGGCAGAGGGACCGCTTCGGAATTCAGGCTGGCAGACCATCTTCCGAACGTTTGTTTGACAGATCTGCAAACCCTTGAGAGAGTGTTGTTGAAAGACTTGCAGCGCAACTCTTGCCGAACCTGAAAGTCTCGTGACACAGTAGCTAACGGAGGCGACAGTGTTCCCAGCGCAAGCGTTCAACAATTACCCGAAGCTGCGGGGTACAAGATCGCATGGACATGAACAAACAGGTTGCTGAGGCTTCACTCGTGCACACGGAAACCCTTTAGGCAAGCCCAGGCCGTCCCAACATTCAGAGCACACAAACCGTGGACAAAAAACCCGGAGACCTGACCCAAGCCCGGAACCCGGCTGAAAGCGAGCGGACGATACGGCCAACTCCTGCGTTGACACCGGGGGGCAATCCATCCAAATCTGTGACAATTTGCAAAGAAGGAGGCGGGAGGGCTTCGATGCTCTTTGGTCCAATTCCGTTGTGCAGGTGGGGGCCTCTTCATGTGCCTGCGCCTTCCGTGGGGAACTGTGCCTTGGCCCATCGTAGCAAGCGAGAGCTGCAAGGAGCATTCGCCGTTGCACGATCAGCTCTCCGTTCACCCACACTCCCGTTCATTCCTCACTCGCTTCGTGTGTACAATCAAAGACTGGCAGTTCCAATCCAAAGTCCTTAATTCTTTACAACACGTTCTTGGTCTCTGCGTTTTCTTCGACTATGGGTGAAAGCTTTGGCCAGTCACACTCAACCGTTAAGTGGCTCTATGACGACGTGTGATTGCTCTTCGCCCGGAAAGATGCAGATAAAACGAGCCTTGGACACGGCCACCTTGTGTGCGAGCACGAGATGCAGCAGCCCAGGATAGTTGCTTCGGGCCGCCCGCGCTGCTTTTCGAAGTGTGCCGCTGGCCTGGAACAAGTTTAGCCTCATGCAGGTCAGAGAGGCACGTGCCAGAGTTCGGTATACGTCTACGCCCTTCCTGGGTGTCCGGGTGTGTTCATGACAGGGAGAGGATGGGGAAATGGGTAAAGTGCTCAATCCTCAGCCCTAGCCTGCAACTATGGGCTTCTCCGAGTTGCGTTTGAGTCTAACTCCACGAGGTTGCCGGCTTCCGATTTTCTGCAGATGCCTCGCAGCCTCTTTGGTGGCCTCGGCAAATTAGTCTTTGAACGCCAGGGCATTTCCAGACAGGAGCTGCAGCCATGTAAGCTAAGCTATGTGGGAGCTTTCCCCTAGCTGGTGCTCGTAGGGTCTGGCAGTCTCTAGGCAAAAGCTGCCCATGGCTCGGGGACCTCAGGTGGCATGGCACCTGGCGTCAGCTGCCGGCCGGGCTGGGGAGGATGAAGGTGTTGAGTTTCTGCTCTTTTAGGTGGATGTAGGTGACGGTGTCTGCAGCTGCCGCCTCTTCCTGCATGTTCCACATCGAGTGAACGATCGTCCCCTGCCCCAGAAGCTGCAGAGCGCACGCGTCGGTGGGGCGCTCGTAGCAGCTCGGTTCAACGCAAGGGCAGAGTTGCAGGACCATGCAGAACCCCACCTAGGGTCTCGCCAGTCTGCAGCCTTGGCTGAGGAGGTCTACGATCGCTTGTACATCACAGGAGGCACAGGGCCGCAGGATGCCGCAGGGTAAGCGCGGGAGGCAAGGGCGAAGAAACCACTGTGAGGCGTTGACGAGGAAACTGGCGAGTTCTACGACACGGCAGAGCGCCTCGCGGAGGAGTCCTGGGACTGTGCCTGGCTCAGGAGACACCGCATTCGATACTTCGATGCCTGCAGGTTACACCAGTCTCAGACAGCACGGAAATCTCCATGAATGCATCACCCAGAGTTATCCTCTACTCCGTGGAGTGGTGCTAAGGCGTGTCCTGGTTCCAGATGCCACGCGCGCCGCTTGGACTTCAGCCAGGGCCTGGCTCAGCTTGAGAGCGAGGCGAGCTCGAAGGCGCTAGTGCATTGCATAATACAAAAAAATTATGTCATTTTTATATCACATTAGGTTATATGCTTATATAAAATTGTGACTATGTTTATGATTTATGATTATGTTTATGTGAAATATATGACATGAAATACTGTCGGTGCAGTGTTGATTTGAAAAGTTCACTCATCCAAGGTTGCATGCGCACGAGGCACATGCCTTGCCGTATCTCCCCGCTCCAGCACAGCCACTCACAAGGAAGTGAGGCTTCTAGAACAGTAGCACAAGGTAGGTGTAGTGTAGTTTGTAGATCGCTGCACAAAGTGGCAGTGCACCGCAAAAGAGACCATGGCCGCGGGCTGTTTTCGGCATCGTCTTGAGCAGCTCGATGTGTGTCCCACTTAAAGACTGCCGTGGGATCGCCCCCTGAGACCGATATGCCGTGGAGTCGCAGCAGCCGAGCCGCGTCAAGATCATCTGAGTTGTCCTCACAAGTTCGCGAGTATGAGTAGAGACTTTAAGCTGAAGTACGTCTGGACGTTGCGAATCCATGTGTGTCATCTCTGAACGGACTAGGCCTTTGCACATGTCAGCCGTTTCTGAAGCCCGCCATGCAAGCCGTGGACGAGCTCCTGACCATAGTCATGGTTGCTCGCCGTTTCGGAAGACTGTAAAGTCTGTTTTCAATCCTGCATGGCCATCCTGCAGCACCTGCATTGCGGTTGATTGAGGTTACGTCGCCGGTGCCTTCCAACCCATCGACTGCGATGCTAGAGCACGTGCTGTCCTCCTGCACGACGGCAGGCGGCTTCTTGGCAGCACGTCGCGAACTGAACATCCTCTACATTGCACACAGCATAAAATTATGGAGGGTTAGGGTGCCGTTCTGGCAGAACCTGCTGAAGCAGAATCGTGGCTCACACCGAGCCTGCACTTTACATGCCAAGGTTTCAACACGTGCCCGACGATTGTGGTTTCGGACGGCTACAGGGTTGCATCTGCCGGGCAACGCCCAAAGCCCAAAGCCTCTCGTCCGAAAGGTGAGGCGCTGCCATCACTTCTGAAAGCAATGGCATAGTTTCACATGGCACAAGCCGTCAGATGCAGACTGTAAGCCGCTACGGTCCTGCGATTGGTCAGGCCGGAAGAGTACCACCAGACTGGGAGGAGCCTTATGAAGAGTTCAGGCTGGGGCCCGCCCGTGCTCGTGCTTTCATGTTCTTTTCAGCACACCAGTTGTATCGACTGGGGCGCAGTGCATGCCGTATGTATCCTCCCAGCATTTATCCAGACCCATCTAGCGCTACATTCTTGGACCTTCACAGATCTGCAAGTGTCCAGCAAGCAAACATAACCATTGTGATAAAGAGGGTCCAGCATGGTTTGGGAACTCGTCATCCAATCTTGAACCCGATCTTGGTGCGACCTGTGTCAAAATGGCTTGGCCCCACAGTATTAGTTGGCTTGCGACATCTGCATCGTTTTCTCAGACATGGTCATGCATGGTGCTTGTACCTCAGCCGTAGTGTTTGTTTCGCTTTGCTTTTCTCGAGCAGGCACAAACTGGACAACGTGGACTCCACCGTCTCCAGTGCCCTATCTGGGGTCCAACACATTCGTGTCTTGGAGCACAAGGCACCACTCACAGTCTACACAGTCTGGGATCTTGAGAGTGACTGCCACGTGCCACGTGCGGGCACTTTACCGTGTTGTTCAAAAGCCGCAGGGCTTCGCGGGATGCTTGCACATCGCTTTGCGGCAGGCTCTTTGCCTTCCAGCTGTTGGCTGTTAAGATTGTTGTAGGGGTTGGCGTCCGACGTTGGCTGTGAGTTTGTCATGAGAGTCTCGCTGGCCAGCCGAAGAGCCGGACATTGTATTCTGCCGAAGCCTAGAGACTGAATGTCATCGAAACCAGCCGCCAAGACATCTCAGTCAAAGACTATCTGACTCTGCCGGGATTGGCTCGTTGTGGGATCAGTGCATTTGCATCGGAGCTTGTGCATGCTACTCTTTTTCGAAAGCAGGTTCGGACGCCTTTCGTCTTGGTGCTGCAGCACGATCGCCCGTGCCTTCGTCCTTTCGACGGTTCAGGCGCAGAGTTCTTCCAGGCTTTCCGAATTTTGCAGCGCTTTCCAACTGGTGTCGGCCTGAGGATTGAGGTTCCTTCTGATGCCAGGCCTGCTCGCGGCAATGCTGGGATGCTCCCAGCTGAAGTACGTGGGCCTGCCCACCAAGGCCTGGGGCAACAGTGGGTACGGGATATGCACATCGATGCACTTAGATTTCTTGCAAAAGTGCTGTACTGTCCCAAAAAAGCAAATCTTTTTCTTTACAAAAGTGCTGTAATGTCTCAAAAAAACAAACCAATGTTTCCAGGTCCTGGGGCCTCGCGGGTTTTTTCTCCGCTTCACCAAACATTACATTCTCTTCCTTTTGCTTATGTGTGACATGTGAAAACCACCTGAAACCCAACCAAAATTCTGTCTGGCATTCTGCGTTGCGCGCCTACCGATGATTTTGGCGCGGAGTCCCTCGCGTCTGGAAAATCAGTGTTCTTCCTCAAACAAGAAAGAAGAGATCTCTTCACTCAGTGAGTAATCCTTCATCATCAGAGAGAAGCAGAAGAATTCCCCCCAACCCCTTGTCAGTGGATAAGACCAAGAGATTTCTTTCAATCTGCCCATAACAAAGATTTGTCCGACTTAGTCCTTCCTAGAGTATCTTATCCTGTAAGAAACAGGACTGCGCGGCCTCTTTATGTTTCGGAATACAGGATACATCCAATATGTTTTTTTTTTGAAAACACCCAATAACAATAGTTTACAGTATGTGGAGCGTCTTAAAACAGCTGCTCGTCTTCATACCATGATAGATCCGAGAACTCCTGCGATACAACAGACGCATGTGTTTCCGCTTACTAGCAGCAGGAACACAGAGACCGGCTACCTCTCAATCGAGAAGTAAAGACAAGCCGTTGTCTCCTCATAAGAAAGGTGGAAGCAACCTATGCATCTCGTTCTGATTCGCGGGAGTTGCGACTTGGATAAAGGTGCTGTTCTTCTCTTGACAAGAAGCACAAGAACTCGCTGTTTATTTAGCGAAATATAATGGGCCTCTATTGTCCCGTGCTGCTATCAAGAAGTATGGGATCTCCTGCCAGGAAACTTGTGTCTTGGATAACAAGAAAGATTCCGTTTCATCTTGAGCACAATCGATCGTAACCGATCTACTTTGATTGGATGAAGGACACATTAGTAGCTGAAGAACTCGAGCATTCTTCCACGAACAGCAGTTGAAGCTGGCACAGCTCTCTTATCTCTTCATGTGTATCAGAGAAGCTTATCATCTTTTTTTAGGCGCGCAGAAACAAGAAGCTCTCTTGTCCTGTAAAGCGGTTTCCCAACCATGGGAATCAATAAGAAAGCTCGTTCACTTCACAATGCAGTTCAGTAGGCTGGGTTGCGTGTACATACCTCGAGAGTACGTTATCTCATTTCAAGAAACGGGTGGAGTTCTGCAGCATTTTTTTCTGAATGAAGTGTTAAGAACTCGATAATCCTTCAATAGGATGTTAGGCTAAAGAGATATCTTGTCTGTACAACACCTTCTGAGGCACCCACAATGCCTGGCGGATTTTGGGCAAGATGACTCGGGCATGTTTTATTGCTGCGGAGGGCTTCGCAGCTCAGGGTAACAGAATGCCCACAATGTCACAAATACCAAAAGTCATGTTGTTGAAATGCCGCAGGGCTCGTACTCCACATCTCCAAGTCAAGTTTTCGAATCTCAGGCCGCCGGAACTGAAATCCCGACAGTACACGGCAGGACGGAGGTCATGGCCGTGGTGTCCTGGTGGTCTTCTCCCGGTGCCTTCCTTTTCTCTTGAGGTCTTTTGGTGGTCTTCTGGTGTTTTTTGTTTGTGTTTTTTTCGGTGGTGGTGGAGTTGTCGTCGAGTTGTCGTGGGTCCGGGTGGTCCTGGCGGTCCTGGTGTGGTCGTCGTTGCGGTGCTCCATCACTGCTATGAAGCTATGCTGGCACAGTAACTGTCTTTATATCTTAAACTGCATCTTCATTCTTCGGTCATCAGCTTAACCTTAGTGTCAAGTTTCGGATTGTTTAATACACATTTTGTCTTTTCCTTCGATTCTTGGATCCTCCCTTTGTGGGGGTTACGGGCTAGGCAAGCCTGGCGAGGACGGAGCCCGCGCACTTGGCCGTGGCCCGAGTAGTTCACCTTGAGATATTTTTTGAGGATTTAGCTATTTAGGGCTCTAGGGTGCTAGAGTTTAGGGTTTAGGGAAGCCTAAACCCTCAATGGAGGATATGCACTGTATTAAACGGTCTTGCAAAATTTTGTCTACCTGCCGTAGGTTTCTGCATGTGCTATGATGAGGTTAAGTTCAGAGGCTTGGATATTGCTTCAGCCGCCGCAATGCAGATTAACCCAGTCGAGTGTCTTGGGGATTTTACGATGCTCAGACAGAGCAGCATGGACTCACATCTTCTGAGCACTTGCCGAAGTGCATATCGGTTCTTAGCTTCAAAAGCACATTCCGCTTCATCGTGTTTGAGCGATGGGCAACATTTGCCAATGTTGCGGTGCCAGGGAGAAAGATCCATCCTGGCTTCCGGATTACGCCTCGGGGGGCAACACTCAGCATGGTTACTCGCTTGCGAAGAATGAACGGCAACGAATGGAAGATGCCGTGTTAATCCACGACAACGTCGCTGGAAACGCTTTGTTCGCTGTCTTCGACGGCCATGGAGGCGAGAAGGCGACCCTGCTGGCCAAGCAGTTCCTTCCAGAGCAGCTCGAGCATCACCTCCAACAAGACTGCAGCAAGGAGGAAGCGGCCCAACAAGCTTTCACGGCAGTGGACGAGCTTATGCAGAGCAACCTGGCGGAGGAAGCCAAGCTGCTTCTTAGTAGCTGAATGAGTACACTTTACACTTTGGGATAATGTTTTCCCTTACAGAGCTGAAGGTTTACACTTGTTTGATGTTTTTTTTTTGCCGCCAAGGTTTGCATCCGGCACATCGTCCG